CTTTATACTACATCTAGATGAGTAACACCTGGTTCTTGTACAACTAAGTACCATCTAACCCAACATTTAGCTATCTCCTTTTGTATGTCTGTCAAGCTGTTAAACATTTCAGAATACATTACCTAATTGTAAGGTTCTGGAGTATCTTCTTGTTAACTACCTATCTACTTTATGGAACATTAACAAAGCTAGCTCTTGTAAAGTTTACCCAAACCCCAGCACCTACTTCATAGCATATCTCTAGTACTTATAGTATACCCCTGCTTTGACCTTAGACTTCCAATTCAGATAGCCTAGTAGAACTATGACCTGTTCTTAGTATATCGAGCCAACTCAATATTCTTTTTCTTCAGTTCAGTTTCAGTAACCTGGTTGGTGGTACCTCTTACCTGAGGTTCTTGCCTGTTCAGCTCCTTCACATTGGTATCTGTTTCCTAGGTCTAGTCTTTACAGTAGTACTGTTAAAGATCTGTATTATCTCTCTACTTAGGTCTTTTTAAATAGGCTTCGGTTTTCCAGTTTTATAGATTTATACGGTCACAAGAACTTATTTTAGGTTTGTACTGCCTAATACTAGTTTGCATTCCTCCGTGTAACCAAGGTTATACAGATGCCCTGTGATCTGCCAGTCATGCTGATGTGACCATAGTTACAGATATCCTATCTTAACTAATTAACAGAATACTGTCATCATAATACTGTCTATGTATTACATAGATGGTTATTCAAATTTTTGCCATCAGTAGGTTTTGAACTCACAATCTACCATTTGGAGGGTTGACAACATATCCATTTCACTAAGTTACCACACTCCTTATAGTATTGATTTTATATTAGTTAATTAAAATTTAAAATTAAATATAATTTAAAGAAATTCAAAACAGATATTTACTTTGCAGAAATTGTATTTATTTTAAAATTTAGTTTAATAAACCAACTTTTAAAGTTCTAACAAAAAAATTTTTTTGTGCAATATTGTTATATTATTGGTCTTTTTATTTTTATTTAAACTCTAAAATAAATATAAAAAAAGTTTTTAGTTTTTTCTAAATATTATATAACAGTAAAATCAATTTTATATTTTATTAATATAATAAATTTTTGAAAACTTATCTAATTGAAAATTGACCAAAGTAATTCTTAAAAATACAGATTAGTATATAGATAGCATTACTAATAAAGTATCTAGACTTATAGAATTTCAGTGATTTTTATTATTTAATCAATAAATAATTACTAAAATTATATAAGTTTAGATATTCTAATTACTAAATTTTTTTTTTTTTGCTTTTGCTAAGGCTGTTTGTTATTAGTAACTACTATCTTTATTGTGTTTAATTATAATTATATAAGAGAGATGTGGTAACCTAGTGAAGTAGATAGGTTATCAATTTTCAAGTAGCAGGTCTAAAGTTCAAATCTCAATAATGGTAAAAATTTGCAATTTTTTTTGTATTATAATTAACTGTCTTCTGTGATTAGTTAGGATTAGATACCTATAACTTATGTCATACCAATATAACTGAAAGGTCTATGCACTCATACAACATTGTATGAAGGAACACAAACTGATACTGAACAGTGTGAACCCAAGATAAGTTTTTAAACTATGTAAATTATAAGAACAGATAAAAAGACAAAAGCCCACTTGGAAGACCTAAATAGAGAGGTATTTAAACTTTTAATAATGCTATTGTAAAGACTAGACCTATAAAACAGTACTAGAATTTGTGAAACTAAACAAATGTACTAGTTTTTAAGAAGAAACCAGATGAACTAATTAGGCTGCTAAAATTTTCAAATTTTAGAAAAAAAGAGTACATGTCAGCAAATATGTAAACCAAAGGTATAGTTACAGTTTACCTTTCTGAGCTATTTGAAATAGCAACTTGACGAAACTTAAATTGAATACCAAAATAGTAGGGATATATTGTGAAGTTAGTACTAGAGTTAAGTAAACTTTACAAAGGCATAGCAGTTTAAAAATATGCTCTGACTACCAGTATTGGTCTTGGTTATAGTAATACTAAGTTAGCTATAAGAATATAATACAAAAGATTCTAAAAGGTTTAATATAAGGTTAAAAGTTTCAAAGAACCACTTTAAAGTCTTAGTGGTCATGGTATATTTTTATTAGCATCAGCTGGAGTTATTAATAGGCAGAGCTAAGTAAATGGATATAGAAACTAGAGTGGTTAAATAAGAAATCTACAAGCAGGTTCTAGATATAATAGCTAGTATAAAACCTTTAGGCAAACTACTTAAATTAGACAATAACTAAAGTTATACAAGTGGCTAGTTGTATACTCTTTTTATGATTGTTCTCTATAGTTGTAATGCAACTATTAGCCAAATATATTATTAATAAAATCCTGAGTTACAAGTATTCACCTTAATATTTTAAAAAAAAAATTATAGTTACATAATTTGTATAAGACAAATATGCAACTAACTATATATATAACTTTTAGTTATCTATTTAAGTAGTTCACTTGCAGGTCTATATTAGTTGTTATATATGTAACTATTAAAAGATTATCTAATTAAATACTCTAATTCTTGTATTATATCTAACAAATAGCATACAAGTTATTATATATTTAAATGCCATCTAACCTAACTTTAGCCTTTTTGTTTATATATCTATCAAGTTATTATATATTTCAGAATAGAGGCTTGCATTGGGTCCTGCAGCCTGGCCTGGCCCACAAATTTTTGCAGGCTGAGCCGGACCTAAAGCAAAATTTTATAATTGTGGGCCAGGCTGGGCTGAAAAATTTGCAAAATTTTATAATTGCAGGCCAGTGTGAGCCTAAAAATTTGTAAAATTATATAAGAAATTTTTGCATGCCAGGCTGGGCTGGGCTGGGCTGAAGAAAAAATTTGACATATGCAGACTGGGCCAGGCCAGCAAAAAAATGGTAACTCTAAATGTGGGCCAGGCCAGACTTAAAAAAAATTTTTAACCCTAATTGTGGGCCAGGTCTCAAAAATAGGCAATTTGCAGGCTCCTATTTCAAAGTATATTATCTAACTATAATATTCTAGAGAATCTTTTTGTTAACTAACTACTCATATTTAGTTTTTGTTAATAGTACTTATTCTTGCAGAGTTTACTCAAATTCTAGTATCTACTTTATAGTATATCTTTAGTACTTATAGTATATATTTGCTTTTGTCATCAAACTTTTAATTCAAATAATCTAAAAAAACTATGATCTGTCTCTAGTATATTAAGATTACAATGTTTGATATTCTTTTTTTTTAATTCAAGACTTTTAGTAGTCTAGTTAGTAGTATCTCTTATCTAACATTATTGTTTGCTTAATTTCTTTATATTGGTATCTGTTTTTTAGGTCTAGTTTTTACAGTAATATTATTAAAGATTTATATTATCTCTTTATTTAGATCTCTTTAAGTAGACTTTAACTTTTCAATTTTATAGATTTATATAATTACAGGAACTTATTTTGGATTTGTATTGCCTATTACCAATTTGTATTCCTCTGTGTAACTAATTATACAAATGCTTTATAATCTGCTAATCATATTAGTACAATTATAATTATAGATATCTTATTTCAACTAATTAACAAAATGCTATTGTCATAATACTGTCTATATATTACATATGTGATTATTTAAATTTTATTATTGATAGGTTTTGAACTCACAACCTACTACTTAAGAAGTTGACAACTTATCTTTTCTACTAAATTATCATATTTCTATTGTATTAAAATTGACTTTAAAAATAAAGACTTGTTAATGCCACCCTCTATTTTTGTTAATGCCACCCTTTACATAATCTAATCCTAATTAATAATTAGAGTCTGAAAGGTTGAAGATTAAATATTTTACATAAAAAAGATGGCATTAGCAAAAGTAGGGAGTAGCATTAACAAATCCCTAAAAATATATAATATTATATAAAAAATTTCAAAAAATATATATTTAAATAAAAATAATTGTTTAAAAATCTTAAATAATTTATATAAACAAAAATCTCTAGATAAAAGATATTACCAACTTGATTATTGATTAATTTAAATATGAAGTTATATTATATAAGGCTAACTAAATTAGTAATATAAAAAAATTTATAAATATAAACAAGTTACTAATAAGATTAAAAAGAAAAGTACTAAGATTATATAAACTTCACAAGAATTAAAAATTAGATTAGTTATAAAATAGAATATAGAAAATTCTAATAAGTTTATTTTTAAAAATAAAATAATTTTAAGGTTTATAATAAAAATCAAACTATAAAAATGTGTTAACAGATTTTCTACAATCTAGTAAAGTTAATACAAAATATATAATAATTAAAAAGTTTAAAATAAAATATCCTAATAGAAATGTCAAGTATAGTAATTAATAAAAAATTTTTAGATAAACTTTTTAAATAAGTAATATAAAAATGTTCTATATACAGTTAATTGTACTCTTATTTTGTGTCAAGAAAGTTTAATAAAATCAATAACCAAAAAAAAATTAATTTTTTATATAATAAACTAATTTAAATAAGCAATTTTCTTTTTATTATCACCTTTTTTTCTATATAATAATTATAATTAAAATTTTGCAAATTCATACACTAAAGTTAACCAAAGTACTTGCATAATAACGTAAAAAATACTTAATTGTGATTGATTAATTTATAACTATATCAAAAAAATTTAATTTTTTTTTATAAATTCTCAAATATTAATATATTTATTTAATTGCAAGTTAATATGTAAAATTTTATATAATTACATTTTAATTCAAATGTATCAAGTTGATGTATCATGCTTAATGAGATGATCAATACCATGTAAAAAAAATCAGATAGTTAACACTTTTAAATTATTACAAAACTTTTTATAGCATTAAACTTATACATAATACTCATATTACTTTCTAATTATCTAATAGAAACCTAGAACAAAATAAACATTACGGGGGACAACCGTGCCGACTGACAATTTGCGGAATATACCTATAACCAGAAATGTTTAAGATTTTCCTTGTTCTTTTGGTCGAGGAAGACCCATTGTGATAAGAAATTCGACAGCCTGATTAAATTCCCTTTTTTGTTGTTCTGAAGACCATCCAAGCTCTTTACTCATAATCACCATGATACGTGGAAGCGACTCAAGAGTTGCTTGAACGTCAAGAAACGCCAGGCGAGTACGACGCGCGATAACATCCTGACAGATAAACACTATTAGAAAATAGATTGCGGACATTTATTTTATGTATCAAGCATGTTATACGGACCACAAGAGTACAAGCATATTCTCGACGGACAGCATAGATAACTTCTGCGTCAATGTATGGGTATAGTGGATTTAATCTGCGGCCAAAAGCTGTTAAACTTTTGCCAGTTGGACGTGCTAATGCAGCAACAGCCCATGCACGATCACCATAACTATTAGCTAAATGTCGTGCAACCTGCGAATTGTGCAAACTAGTCAATGTTGGATAATAACTTCTAATGCGATATAAGACATAGATTAACGTTAATCATCGATTAATACTTCAGTATCTAATTTGAATTGTTGAATAAGCTTTATAAACATTGTTGGAGAAAATCCGTGCGACCCAATAAGCTTCGTTCTTTCAGTACGACATTCATTCAGGGGTTTCAGTCCTTTGAATATTTAAGGTAAATTATGATCGTTAAAATGATAAAAACAAAAACACTGTACACTAAACGAAAAAACCAACCAAGTACTTTAATAGCTGTATCAACCGTTTCTTCTGCCATATTTCTGTATGTTGTCCATTTTCCGCCCGCAATTGTGATTAAATTGGAAGGGCTAACGTTAATCATGTGACTTCTTACTAATTCTGACGTATTTTTGGCACTAGGATCACGCACTAAAGGACGAATTCCGGACCATGCAGCGAGAACATCACTTCGTCGAATTTCAATGTCTATGAGTAAAATATCGCGAATATGTAATTTGATTAAATAATCTAATTTGGAGTTTGTGATAAATAACGATAAGAAAAAACAGTTGAACTACAGTATAGGTGGGCAGGATCGACAATACTCACGTGCACATACAAAAAATTAATGCCCACCTACTACAGTTCACCCAGCCACACTGTATAAGATCCAAGAAAACAAACCAGGGCTTAAGTACGTTCTGATTTCATTAAGAATCCATTGTATTTCTTCTTCTTTGGGCATTGGATTGTATGTTAATTCAGTGGGTGAATCGGTTGTCCCAGCAATTGTACTTCCTTCCCAAGGTAAAAAAAAAATCACCCTCCCATCTGATGTTGAAGGATCAATCATGCCTATTTTTCGGGGGCTATAATAGTTTGGTAGGACAACATGAACACCTGCAGATGGCGCGACAATGTTGTCACACCTAGGATTATCCATAGAACGGATACCATCTGTGCAATAAAATTCGATTAAATGCTAATTGAAAACATATATTTAACATATCCGCGTTTTTGACTAATATAGCCAATACGCGTGTGACATTAATATACCTGTAAATGCACCAGTAGCATTTATTACACCTTTAGCTTTGATGTCCCATTCATCACCGCTCAAGTTATCTCTGACTCGCGCTCCATTGACTTTGCCATTTTTATCTTTCAATAATCGCGTAACTTCCACGTGATTTACAACAACTGCGCCATGTGAAACAGCGGACAATGCAAGAGCGACATTCATACGTGCATCATTGTGTTGACCTGGATGAATATCATAACAGCTGAGTAACAATTGGTTTTTATGGACGAATAGTAATTATGAGTGAACCAACGTGAAGTTAAGCATAACGTAAAGTAGCATATAGTAAAATAATATACGAAAAGGAACTATGCTAGTATTCGCCTAAACGCCTTTGAAAAAAGGCAATTAACAAAGCGCCATTTTTCTTATACTATACTACTATTTTATACTACTGCACGTTGGTCTTTTGGTGTGATGGAGGTATAAATTTAACAAACCGTCATAATATACCATAGCACCAACGAGTTTCTCCTTTTTTAACCATGGAAAGGCTTCAATTGCTTTACTACTAGACAAGAAATGTGAGCTTTCCATAGATTCGCGGCCTGCAAGGAAATCGTAAACTTTTGAACCAACCCAGAAATATGGAACCTGCCACAACCTGTATCAAAATACAAAATGAACCATTTCAATATTGAATTCTCAATTGTAATTCAAAAAACTATATATACTGGTCGTACTTGTAAATGGGCAACAGAATAGGTAATGGGTAACTTAAGTAAGGGGCAATATGCAAAAAAGTAGCACGTTCATGAAGGGCCTCTTTTACAAGCTTGTATTGCCCATAGTCGAGTTCTTTAAATGCTTTCTCAAGATATCGAACACCTCCATGAACAAGTTTTGTAGAGCGTGAAGAAGTTCCAGCAGAAAAATCGTCTCTTTCCACCAATGCAACTTTTAATCCTCTTGTTGCAGCATCAAGAGCTGTACCTGCACCGGTAGCACCACCACCTATAATCAATAGATCAAATGGTGGTTCTTTCACATCATTATCTTTTTCTGACGGACCTTCCATGCTTGAACTTTTGAGAATGTTCAACATTTCTTTTCTCGAAGGCGGGACCCATAAAGCATGCAGTTCATTTTCTGATGAAGTTTCTGATTGAACTTGATTATACGCGTCCGCGTATGTCGCTGACATTAAAAACTGTGGCTTAATAATGGGTAAACTATGTGCTTGTTGCTTTCGAATTCTCCTTGAGGGACCTGGATAAAAATAGTAGGCGGATGCACCGCCAACAACAACTGCTATGCTTGCGTAAGCTATGCGCTTTTTAGTAAAAACTTTCCACATTAATTTTGTTCTTGTACTTTACGTAAAGTTCAAATAAGAGAAAAGTAATAATTTAGTAATAAAACGTATTTATAACTGATTTGTATATCTGATGGATTTTCATGAAGCCATACCGATATGTACTGTTACACGGCTTTTATATTATTTTCAGAAGTAGCAATATTTAAATATTGAATGACTTGGGATCTCATGTGACTCTGACAACATTAATACGTGACAATGATACTTAATATAAACTAACTATTGTGGTAAATAACTTTTAGTCCGAGCTAAAATCGATCACAGGACCCCGTGATCGTTAAGATATTTGAACCTCACGTGCTTATCAATGTTGAAATTCATATGATTGTATTTATAGGTTGCGTAACACCAACTTCATTCATCACTTTATACTCGATTATCTCTTGTCACGATTCTTATATGCGCCTCCTTGCCGGCTCGAACGTCTCCCTCGAGCTTATTAAACATTTCTCATTTTCTATCATCGATAATTTTGGAACAAACGCTCGAACTTATTCTTCAAGGATGGCGTGGTTTTGTTCTGGTAACTAATCAGAAAATTTTTCAGCGTCTATTTTTTTATGTACACATAATTAAAAGACACTATTCGTTATGAAAGCAAACAGCAATAGTGGCTTAGTGAGTAATTTGAAAAGGGCTGGAATATTTCAGTCTGAACGGGTTGAACAAGCTATGAAATCGGTTGACAGAGGAAAATATGTGAAATACGATCCGTACCGCGATTCACCTCAACAAATAGGTTACGGAGCTACCATCTCTGCACCGTAAGCGTAGATTGAAAGGGTTTAAAGTTGTTATCGCATCTTTTTTGGGATTGATGGATCAATAACTTTAATGTTTTATTCAAGTCATATGCATGCACACGCTTTGGAGAATTTGTCTCCTTTTTTGCGACCTGGCATGAAAGGTAAGTGAATATACATGATCATTGCTTCGAGAAAATTTCATTTATGCTTGAATTTCTATGTAGTGTTAGACGTTGGATGCGGTTCTGGGTATCTAACTGCCTGTCTAGCAGAGATGGTAATTCATCGTCATAAATTATAACAATTATTGTTTGGTATATTTATTTAATATCAGTTAAATACGTTTTAGGTTGGACCAGAGGGCAAAGTTATCGGCCTGGACCATATTCCTCAACTCGTTAATTTAGCCAAAGATAATGTAATGAATGATCGACCGGAGCTTTTGGAGTCCCAAAGAGTGGTATTTGTACTTGGGGATGGCAGAAAAGGATATCCAGAAGAGGCGCCTTATGATTGCATGTACATCTTACGTGCCTATCTATGGTTTTTCTTTTTGTCATTTAACGTTTATTTGGATTAATATCCGTTATGGAATCGAATAGCCATGTTGGAGCTGCCGCTGAAAAGTTGCCTCAGGATTTAGTTGATCAACTAAAATCTCCCGGACGGTACGTTCGTATCACTATTATTCTTTACATATGAACATTAACGTTGAAATCGGCTCAATTACTTTTAGGATATTTATTCCAGTGGGAAATCATAACCAATATATTTATCAAATTGATAAAGATAGTGATGGAAATGTCACGAAGAAATCTTTAATGGGTGTCATGGTATGGTATTCATGCAAATTTTTTTACTATTCCATTATTCATAATTTATTCATATAATATATTTATTCATTTATGGTTCATTATAGTATGTTCCACTTACTGACGCTCAGAAACAGTTACGAGGAGATTGAACAAGTTGTCATCTAAAATGAAGTTTACTTCTTTTTCGCTTTAGTAATATTCATATTTACTATTTAACATTTGAGCATTGATTAGGTGAAAATATTTGACCATCTACAAAATTTCCGTTAGAGTTTAGCAGAATCAAAATGGTTATTTATCATTATTTAAATTCAAGAAATTCTATAAATTGTCCAATATTTCTTGTCTAGCCATTATATGAAACGTTATGTATAATGGCAATTTCATAAGTATTGCATTTCATTTTGCCTAGGAACTGTTAGATGTCAACAGTGATATTTTTTTGGAGTCGGCCGTGATGTCGTGCATAATGATGCTGGTGAAATTAAATCAGAGTGGTGAAATTGGTGAAATGGTGAAATAGTAGTCATAAGGTTTGCTGCACCAAAGTAGAAATGAGTAGGCATAGACGTATGAATGAGAATAAGTATATTGATAATCGTATAAATAAGTATAGAGAAAAAAGTAGCCAAATATTAATCATTAATAAATGAAATTTCACCATTTCAATTTCACCATTTTACTATTTACCAAATTTTATTTTGTGCAATTTTGGTAAACTATTTCACCAGCATCTATAGTTGTGCAGATCACACAATATAATAAGTCATATGAAACTACTCCTGGGACTAGGGGCCTGCAAATTGCCTATTTTTGAGGCCCGGCCCAGCCCGCAATTAGGGTTAAAAATTTTTTTTAGGCCCGG